AAAAAGCAGAGCGTCTTATTCTCCAAAAAAAATCTTGCCTGAGTAGCCAGGACCCCAATCTGATGATGGCTAAAATTTATTGCTTTTAGATTAGAAATGTTTGTTTTAAGTAGAGCAGGAAGCCCAAGAACCTCCTTTCAAAAGTGCAGGATCTAAAGGGCTAATGAAAACATTCTTCACAGTAATGGTTGGACAGCAGGGAGGCACACTTGTAAATGCTGAATGTTCATCAAGGAAAACATGAAAGCTGTAGAGAAGAGACGCATATAAGTGTTGCATTATGCACTATCATCTGCAAAATAAGCTATAAGGCATCATATCTAGTGACAGAGATATGGTGAAAGACTGGATTGAAAACAGCAGATTTATTGGAATACTACAGAAGAAGAGGAGGTACAGGCATTTAGATGATTGAAAAATCAAATCATTGTATCCACCCATCCAACAAACTTTTCTCCTTCTGAGTATCAGAGACTCCTGCTATTGTCCCAGCTAGAAGAACCGCAAACATATCACTTCTCTCAGCTGCCATTTTATTTGTCATTTGTGATAAGTGTTATTTATAATGCAGAAAACCACTGAAGTCATGTTCTTTTGTGTGAGGGACAGAGACTGTTGCTGGGATTCTCAGTACAGGCAGTCTTCGACTTAAGACATTTCGAGTTACAATGAATGGCACTTACGACGTTTATAAATTGACACCCTGTTTTGACTTTCTGACGTCAGTTTAGACTTTACGACGCTTGATCCGACGCAACGCCACACCAGCAAACAAGTTCTCTGCATCGCCCATCTCCCTGGAGAACATCTGTCCAAACTTCCTTGGACACTTTCTTTAAGAAAGCAGACAAGACTCCAGAAAAACCTGCAGCCAAGACTCCTGAGAAGACTCCAGCCAAGAATCCTTCAAAAAGTCCAACCAAGAGCCCTTCAAAAAACCCAGCAAAGTCACCTCAAAGAAGTCCTTCCAAATCAATATGATTGCTATTTACAATATTAATACATTAATGTAGCTATATTACTCATCTATAATTGATTGAGTACAAAATTCTGGGTTACTTTTGGTGAAAATAGGGTATTGGGCCTTGGTTCAGGAACCAATCCCCCATTTATAACATTGTTCCTATGGGAAAATTGGTTCTGAGTTGTAATGTTTCGACTTGAGACAGTTTTCAGGAACCAGTTGTGTCATAAGGTCAAGGACTGCTTGGATTCCTAATCTACATTTGTTCTTGGAACTCTTTAAAAGTTGCTTGTCACAGATGCGAGATCCCAGGGCAAATGCGATTGTCCAGTTTCTGGACCAAACAAAATTCTGGTTTAATAATTCACTCAAGAAGCTCCCATCTTGTCTCTACAAACTTTTGGGATAGCAGCAAATGTGCCAGGGTTCTGGCTTTTGCCCACTGCTTATCTTTCCTAGTTGCAGCATCCTCTCTGATTGAGGTCCATAGGTGCGACCTATAACTACAGGACTGGCAGTTAATCCAAAGAGAGAAATGATGGTACTCCACTCTTTGGTCTCAGGTGTCCATAGACTGAGAAGTGGTGTGGGGTGCCTGTAGACATGCAGAGAAACTGCTTCAATATGCTGTAATTACAGCACATTGGAGCAGACTTGATTAATTGAGTCTGTTGGAGCATGCTAATTAGCGTGCTCCAGTAGACCTCCACATCTCATGTATTCAGTGTCCACATGCTTCAAAATAGTGACAGGGGCTCATTAACTAAAACTCATTGAAAAAGCTTTAGTTAAAGCATTCCTCCACCACAACCACCATTTTGAAGTGCGGGACACTGACTATACAAGTTGCTGCAGGCACTTGGAGCCACTCTAATTAAAGTGTCCCCCCCACCCTGATGTAAAGATGCTGGAGATAGAAAAAGCTATGGCCATATGCACTGAAATGCTCCCTCCTTCTCCCAACCCTCTCTTGGGATTTGTCAGGAGGAAGTAGCCTGGGAGAATGGACAGTAATTCCTGCAAGTGGATTGATGATTGGGGTGTGTGTCTGTAGCATGGCCAGTGAGCAGAGGGAGGTGCAGGGGGAAGGACTGAAGAGATAAGCTCTCTTTGTCATAGACTGTTGGCTTGTTTGTATGGTGCCCGGCACACAGTAATGCAGGTAAAGAACAGTTCCCATCCTGAGGGGTTGATGCAGCACTCCAGGCTCTCATCTCAATACGAGAATGAAAAGGAAGTCCCAAAAGTTGAAATGGCCAGTGCAGAAGTAACACACATGCAGCTGCATTTGACCCTGCAGGAAACAATTCAGCTTAAGACACTTTTACTCTGTAGAGCAACTGAAGCTAGCTTGGAACCCATGTGCATTACAGCTGTGTGAAATTTCACCAGGTGTTTCGTTTCAAAGTGTTTCGACACATTTTGAGCTCAAAACAGTGACATTGAAATGAAACAAAAGGCTTCGAAACAGCTTCAAAATGAAACGAGGGCACTGAAAACTTTTCAAAGCTGGGCTTGCTTGCAGCTAAACAGAGACTAAGGACAGGGAGGAAGGACTGCTCTGATATTGAGATCATCCTGCTG